GCAGGAGTCGCATGTCCGAACCCACCTGTCCCGGCAGGCCACGCAGGGCACCCCGGTGCGTAACACGGGCAGTCCCAAGTCGGCGGTGAAAACACGGCAGGCTTTCTTTCTGCACACCACCTGTTGGACAAAACTGGCCCGTCAGGTCTGCAAAAATACCCTCCGGCTGCGGCAGGCAGCACGACGTCCCTTTGTCCCTATTAACTGTGCTGCCATTAAGGCAGAATGTAAGATGTTTTTTTAATTCTTAGTTCTGTGTGCTGTGCTTCCCACCCATTTTTGTCTTTTAATTTTATTTTCTTTTTCAATAAACATTTCTTGTCTATACGCTTTTGCTTTTCATTTTTTTTTTTCATTTGTCCAGCATATTATTGACACATTGGATAAAGTCCAGTTGCCTTGAACAGATCTTAGGCTGTGGGAACATTTCAAGTTAATTAAAAAGGGGATAACTATAACCTCATTCACTTTTAAAAATTGACATTAGCAAAAATGGGGAGCAGGAAGAGAAAATCAGTGCCACAACATACATTCTTACTACTAGGCAGAATGAAAGAAATGTTCTTTTCTGTTGTTTTTTACTCCTTGCTGAGCAGAACCTACAGATCTGTGCATGTCGTACTTTTTTCAATGAGATAGAAAGAATCAGGAGCTGGGGTTTCATAATAATTTAAATGTGGTGTGCAATAGAGTCCTTTGTCATTGTGACAATCAGATGGTGGTGATAGCCACATTTATTCATCATAGTTGCATCATTTTGGTTTTTTCTGTTCCAGTTTTAAATTTTAATTCCAAATGAAATTCTGCATTATGCTTGTTTTTTTATAGTCAAAATAGAAAGACCTGATGAATTTCTAGTAGTATGACAAAAAGCTATGAGTTTTGTAGGTAGCAACAGTAAGTCTCTTCACCTGCATATGTGTGTAAATTCTGCTGCAAAGTCACTGAATATTTCAACAGCTTTTGTATCTGCACATTGTTTTACTGCTCACACTGTCTGGCTATGATTCCCAGTCTTCCATAGATACAGTTCTTGGAGCAGGTGCTTGGTATTCCAGGATGAGGCATGCTGGCTCATTGTACTGTCAGTTGTATTAGAATTGAAGAGAACTTTTAAGATCATTAGATGTAGGGTTTATAAGCATGTTCATTACATTAACACTGAATGTTTTCCCAGCATACTTATCTGGGATGCAGATGATGTCTGCACTGTTTATAAGAAATTTACTCCACGGAGGCTTAAAATCTGATTTCGAGCAATTATTTTCCCTTTATGTACTTCAAGACCAGCCATTACGCATATGCAAACTCTCCACCTACTTCTGCAGTACTCCAGAATTGGCTGAATATTTCTGTTCATTGTCTTTGTCTAATTTTTTAAATTGTTTTTTCTTCTTTTAAATCTATGCAAGTCAGGAAAAACTTTCAGATTTCAGGAAACCATGTGTCAACTGTGTGAATAAAATGAGTTGTTCTTCATGGAAGAAGTATATCTAAAGATGGATTAAGATTATATTTTTAATCTTCAATCCAAAATAAAGGTTACTTTCTGAGAGAAAGGTATTGTACTGTTTCTGCTGAATCATGGAGGAAAATTCAGAAGTTCACTTGAACTAACTTATATCTTTTTATCCATATCCACTTTTTTTCTCACTCACTGCAGTAAAAAATAAATTCAAAAGATGAAACTTTTGTTTAAGGAGAAGAAAAAACAGAAGAAAAAAATTTCATCCAACTGTTAATTGTTATACTAGGACATGTGTTCAGCCTTTAAAGAGAGGCATCAAATGCTGAGCTTTTCAGCAGGGAATAGTCATTCTTGCTTCAACTGGCGGTGCTGTGTATTCTCTTTGCTTCTTTGAGTGAAAGAGTTCTACATCAGATTAACAGCAGGAGTAGAAAGACTTTTTTTCCCCCTGTAGTGTCTGTCTTTCATGATTCTTTCTGCTTAAGCAAATTTTGGACCTTGTGATTTTGCCTTTGAATTCTGATGCTTCCTGATTAGATCTAACATGGGTTGAAGATAAAAAAGTCATAATTGTTAATGGTTTTTGAACATAGCATTATAATAATGTTCTAACAGTGGAAACCTAATTATACTCCAACTAATTTAAGTTACATTTCTTGGTATACATGCACATATCCAGAATCCATGTTCTGTATCTGGCAATCTCTCTTTCTGTGGAATCATTACACTGCTCTTACCTGCATTGTCATTGTCATGTTCTTGCTCTAGTAAAGGCAAAAAAGTAAAGAAAAAATATTTTCTAGTTTTATTTCTGTACTATCATCTGGTGACCTGTTCTCAGTGCACTCTGTAGATTTTAATGTTATAACTAAATAGTCTCTCTTTTCCTGTGAATGTCCTGAATCTTTGTCTAAGGTTATCTTGAATTTTTGGATTTTTGGGTTTTTAAATAAGATCTTTAATTAGCAGTAATGATTTCCTATGCTGGATCCACTGAGTAATTACAGTATTGAATGAATATCTCTGTTGGTGTTAGAAATGTTACACTCATGCTTAGCTAATAACCTGGCCAGAGTACGAGGTCACTCATGATATGTCATGAGATGGTTACAAGGCCCAAGAACTGATCTGGAATTTGTTTTCTGTATTGGTTTGCTGGAACTTGAATCTAATGGCTGCTTAGATGCTTTGTCAGACTCACCTGACTCTCTGTGTGCCAAACCAGTTCTTGAAAATACAACTGCATTTCCCAACTATATTGCATTAGGCACCATAAGAACACTCAGAAACCATAAAATTTGAATACAAAAGGGTTGGTGGGGCACTTATCCCAGCTGCATACCAGGTTTTATGCCCGCCTAATCTTGTGCAATTTGTTGAAGTGCCAGGTTGTAAATGAAACTGATTCCCAGATGTGAGAAAGACTGTCTGAACAAGTGTGTCACAGCTCAGTCATAAAATAAATTGGTTTTTGCATTCCACCTGTGTACCAGAATGCATCTGCAGGTACTTCTCATGTCTTGGAGGAGGATGGAAGCTTCTGGGAATGATAAGCTAAGGCCCAAGCATCTTTTAGATGAAAACCAGTTTTTGACAGATTTTCTCTTATTGAATGTCCACCCACATCCTCTAACTCAGCCCATTATTTCCACTGGCAGAAAACAAGGTCCTATTCTGTGTTCTTTGTTCCTTCAGACAGTGCAGAGAATTAAACTTTCCCCACTAATGAAGCCTGTAGCATGACCCCTGCTCAGATGCCAGCATGAGGTAGTGGAGAGGAGGCATTTACATCCCAGCTCAATCTTGGGATGGCCACCAGGAGGTTGAAAAGACACAGCACCTCCTGCTAGGAGCACAGCACATCATGGAAAGCTCAAACTTTGTTCTGTCTGAACTTAATAGACTCACTGTGGTTGGTGACAATAAACTTGTCTGATGGTTCTTCAGGAATAATTAGAATTGGTGAACTGCTTTGGTAAGATGAAATTGTCGTGGTCTAAATCTCATGCACTACCTCCTTTTTAGTTTGAATATATTGCATGGTGTGTTTAGAAAGTTAAGCAAGACCATCCTGTCTGGGGAAGGTCTCTTAATTAGAGAAAGGCAAAGTGAGCATTCTTCTCAGCAGTCACTGACAAGCCTGGATCTGTTTGCAGCTCACAGGCAGGTCGATAAATGCCTGGCAGTGAGCCATGTGCCTGTAAACATTGCTTCAGCACAGGGATTTTTTTTCATTGCTTGGATATAGCTTTATTACTATAACTATATATATTAATTATAGTAATTTAGATCTGGATAACCACATGCTGTCTGTGTAGACATGATTGTCAAAATGTTTTCAGTGCATGGTAATATATTATCTGTGTAATATATGTATAGTTATCTGGAAATGGGTGTACGGATCATGATGAAAATTTGTTGTACATTTAAATCTTCAGATTTATTAACAAATGTGGTACGTAGTACATGCTAGTGATCTAGTTTGATGAAACAAAGACAAGTGAAAACAGTAGAATATGTAACATATTACTGATTTGTCTTTGTAACCATAAAGCTTATATTTTACTGACATACAGCTACCTATTCATCTGAATTGAATAACATTTATGGGTATTGGTTCGCAAACTGTTTTGCATCCTTGATTTTGATAGCTATGGAAGAGCTTTTAGCTTTATCTAAGATGAAAATATTTTCTCAGTTGTTTTCTTTGACGGCAATTTTTGCCAGATTTTAATAGCCAGCAAAAAAATTGACAGAGCATATTATTTTTTTCCAAAGTTTCTAAGAATACAGTTCAGAGAATACAGTACATTCATTAGATGATCTGCTTTTTCACAGAGATATGATGGAATGTCAAAGAGAAATAACTTGCTAATGAGAGTCTCTCTAAGCTTAAAAGACCTACAAATCTAATTTTTTTAAAAAGTAAATAATAAGAAAATACTTTCATTTCTAAAAGCACATCCTCATTTGTTATCATCATCTTGGCATTACTGATTTTATTCACCTCTGTAATGCCCTCATCAGTCATCATGCTTGGCAGCTTTAAAGTCTCATAAAAAATCTGTTTCACACTCTGGTTTGTAATGTTATTTCCTAGAATTTTTCTAGTTGTTCTATGTCCTCTTTAGGGTTCTGGTGCCCCAAATTATGTGCACATCAAGATGCATATTTCCCATAATTTTAAAAAGCTATGTTTTCTATTTTCCTATCATCATGATTTCTAACATTCTGGTTTTGATTTCTTTTTAGTATTGTCCAGATATTTTTAGAAAGCTGTTGATGCTGACTTCATGAATATTCTTCTGCTTTGTGATAGTTTAGGAGCTATCTTTATATCTATATATTACAGTGATTTTACCTCTTCAGAATTCATTTACATGCATTGCTTGATGCTGCTCCTGTCCTTTGCTATCGGTTTTAGCTTTGATTATGTTCAGAAATTTCTTATCAGGAAGTTTTAACCCCCTAATCACCGCTTTTGCTGCCCTTTTATATGTTGAACAGCAAAGATAATAAATTTTAATGAGGTTTTAATTCCTGAAAAACCTCTTTTACCCTGTAACAGCTGGACAGCAGAGGTCTTTGGTGGTGCAGTTTGGTAAAAGCTCTCTGAAATGCCAAACTGGATGCCAGATCAGCTGCATGTGAGCAGGTCACGGTCCCCTCAGAGGGTTCTTGCAGGTCTGTGAGACTGGCACTGACTGGTTTTTAGGACATGTAAGTAGGAAGGGACCCGGGAGGTCTCTAATCCCACCTCTTGGCATAAGGTTCCTGTGCTCATGGGCCTTTAGGCCAGGTGAGCTTTTTGTATCTCCACAGATGGAGACTGCACGACTTCTCTGGGCACCTGCTCCGGTGTTTGATCATGCTCGGAGTAAACAATCTTATCCTTGACTCTAACAATCTGCTGCCCCCCAGCCGGGCTGCTGCCAGACAGGAGCAGTGTGTTATCCTGTCACTGTTCCTCTGGGCTCAGTGTCCCCGTGCTCTGCTGCTGGGAGGCTGCAGGTGCCATCCAGGTGTCCCCTTGTCCTTCCCGTCTCAAGGCTGCCCAGACCCAGGGTGTCCTGTGCCCAGACACCCAATCCACCAGCTGGCCCTGCTGCTGTGTGCCTGTATCTCTCCTGTGGCGGGGAGCCAGAGCTCTGGGTGGTTTGCTGTGGGCTGAGGGGTGACCTCCCTCCCTCCCCGGCCCTGCCGCCGTGCCTGCGCTCATGAGACCCAGCACGCCATCGTCCTTCCTGCTGCAAGGACACACCACCGAGTCATGAGAACACACTAAACTTGTTCTCCCTTCCAAGGTCTTTGTTGGCTCCCTTGACATTTCCAAATTTAACCATGTGCCTCTATTAATAATGCAACCTTCTGCCACTCTGCAGACCTACTTACTGGAGAATGTTTCCACATTTGCCCTGGTTTTGTTCTCTTGAACCGAGAACATTTAAGCGTTCATTAAACACCAGCAGCATGTCTGCTCAACACTTTGGATGAATTCCACTTGGTCCTGGTAACTTGGTTCTACTGGTTAACCAGTTTGTTTTGAAATACTTCCTATGGATGCTTCAATGTGACACAGCTCATACATTCCTCATAAAAGTATTTTGGAAGTGCGCTTCTTTAAGTGCTTCTGCAATGAACAGTGATACAAGGAATGCATTTGGCTTTTCTGCTGGGCCTTTATGTTTCTTGTGTATTTTCCTCACACCTTCATAATCTATTGCTACAGACACCAGCACACTTTCTGCTTTTGCTATGTTTGAAAAATGTACTAAAAAATATTAGATTCCTTCTTGTTATAAATGTATTTTTTTTCATAGTTTCCACTATTTCACTGATCTTACTAAGATTTTTATTGCTCATATAAAAGATCATATTTGATCTTAGGACTTGCTTTTAATTTGGGGAATTTTGATAACTTCCTACCCAAATTTTATTCCCCGGTTTTACACTTGAGAATGATGAACAATACAACTTTTGTGTTTTTCTCTGTAGTTTGCATAAAGATCATAAACTTTATTATACTTTTTATGGGAGCCCTTTATTGTGGATCAAAATTTGCTGCTGTTAAACATACTTTACTGTTTCAATAGATAGGTGTGCTTTGGAATACTCACTTTGATGAGTATGGTGCTCTATCTCCAGCATGAAAATTGTGCTCTCCTTGCAGTATGTATTCCCAGTCAGCATATAAATACCACAACATGGTTCAAGATATTTTTTTTACAGTGAAGACACATAGATGGAAAATTTTCTTGCTAATTATTTCTTAGGTGATGCTTTGCTGTTCTCGAAGTAGCTATAAAATACTGTATAGCCTCTGTTTATTTTACTGAGGGAGTCAGTGGAGTAACATAATTCTACTCCACCACTTAAAATATTTCAGGTGTTTTGCAATGTTAAAAATATTCCAGGCACCAGGGTTGTGCTTTTTGTGTTTGTTTTTTTTTTTTTTTTTTTCCCCTAAGCACGGTATGTTTTGTGATTAAGAAAAAATGACAAAATACTTAATGTACTTGGCATTAGGGTTCTGGAACATTTGAAAACCCATTGGCATTTCCAGAATTTTAGGTAGGTTCCTTAATTTATTAAAGTAAGTTGTGCTTTGTCTGCTGCACTGAAAACATCTTCTTGAACATCTGAAATACTTCCAGTCATTTCTGTGCATTCATGATCTTCATGATTTTTGCACAGATCTAGATTAGAATCAATAAAGGGATTGTAAATTCCTCTACATGGTGTCTTATCCTCTTCCTGTTACTGTTTACTCTGTCTCATGTGCTGGAATGAAGCAAACAGGAAGAGTTTGGTGAAACACAGGGAGAAGTTGCAATTATAACCTATTTATAACGTGTCCCTTCTGTAAAACTTGTAGGTAGGTATTTGTGGGAAGTTATTCCATTTGAGAGAAATCCTAATCTATATTATCACTATATGAATGCAATTTTGTCGAGAACAGAATATCTGTATTCTTGGGATACTGGAAGCTCTCTATGGGGGGTTTTATGTGCTCTTGGAAGACAGATAAGACAGATATATCATTCTCAATAATTAAAAAGAAAAAAAAGACATGGTCTATTTCCAGTTGTCTTGAAATTATTTACTGAAAGCTGGTGCCTTGCAAATTTTTGCCTTAAGTTGACTGATTTCATTGTCTAAGCATGAGCCTCTTTATATTAACACTTTGTGTTTTGGACATGTGGATGGAATCTCTGTTTGTGTGTTCACAGTAGCAGCAGGAAGTTTAAGGCAGTTGCTGTGCTGTTGGTTTTCATGTACTTAGCAGAAAGTTACAATCTTTCAGACCTTTGAGCTCTGTAATACTTGGTTATGACTGATCATTTTGTTGAAAAGTTTACAGTGAAGAGTTGTATGACGAAAATCAGTAGTTCCAGCTTTAAATCCTTAACTCTGTATTGTCCCATTTAGAGACAGAGAAGCTTGTAGAAAACAAAAAAAAAGAATTCAATGTAAATCACTTTTAATATCCAAAACTGCATTTTTTTAGTATTCATATTTTAATCTGTGTTCCATTTGCCTGGCTGACTATCTCCAGAAATACTTTGTGAGCAAAAACTACAATCTAACTGATGTTAAAAGTTACATTAACTTAAAAAAAACAAAACTTATAGCATCACTTGCATGAAAGAGGACATGTCCTGCCTTTAAATATTCATTATTAGAAGTATTGATGATAAAAAAGAGACTATAAAAGGTAGGCTAAAAGAAAAAAAGAAAGTGGTGTTAAAAATGCAAGTCAGAAACTGGTTGGTGTGTCCTAAATCTGTTTGTAATAGTAAAATATTCAAACTGAGATTTATTCTTTAAAATTCTCAGATGCAGATCGACATTGTGAACTTGCTGGGAATCCTCTGAAGATAAAAAGCACCAGAAAACCACTGTCATGTATCATTGGCTATTTAGGTGCGTATCTGCCTCCGGAGAATAACAAACCAAATGAACATTCAGTATGTACTGAACCTTCACCATCTGGTATGCACAGAGAGATTTATGCTCTTAGTAACATGAAAAAATTCTGAAGTTAATAAATTAATGATAATGCTGGTCCACTATGAGTTTCAAAACTGCATGGTTTAACTTGCAGGATATAGGCAGAAGTGTCAGAGTGAAACCTGATGTAATTTGGAATGTGAAAAATTGTCTGGCTCTCTAAATAAAATAATAACTGCTCAAAGGGGAGAGATTCTCAGTATGCTCAGGGCTGCTCTACTGTGCCCTTTGTATCCATTTTCAATGCTGTTTTTACTCAAAAGCAGAGGACCTCAGCCACACTAAGGCACATACCTTGTAATTTGATGACTTAAGTTTAAAAGGGGCAATGAAATGTGTACTGAGTTCACAACCAAGAGGACAATGAACCCATAAGTAAATGGGGAGAGGAAAAATTCTAGTAATAGTGATTCCTTGCAATGGGCCATCAGTGAATGTTAAATATTTACACAGTCACATAAGAATTGTGGTAACCAAGAGGCTGTTAATCCTCAAATGAATACAGAAATCCATGTGTTGATCAGAGGAGTGAATATTTCTGCTGTGTATTAATCCTGTTCTAGAGAAGTGAGCTCTACAGCCAAGTGTAGATCTTAGTTTAGATGTTTTGCTCATAATTTCAGTCACCAGGAGGTTTTTTTTGTACCAGATCAAAGTAAACAGTAAGTCACTTGCCTTACTGAAATACAAATCAGCTATTAATCTAGTTACAACTGTTCTTCCAAGACATCAGTTTTGTCAAAATACTAACTCCAAGAATGTGGGTAATGAGGAATTAATGCATTCTCACTGAATTTTGATTCCTCCTGCCCTGGAGTTTAAGAAAAAAGCCAGGGATAATTCCCTGAAGACATCCCAGCTCTGTGTGTTATGTGTGTTGAAAGGACTACTTTGGTTGACTTGGTGGGGTTGTGGTTGTGAGGGGGGAAGCTGAACAGGGGCTGGTTCATCCAGCTGACCTGTCTGCACCTAAAGAGGAAATTGTAATGTGGAAACTTAGAAGACACCACATGTTTTTACTGCCAAGTTATATAGCCTTTAAGGAGTTGTCTTGACCCCTCTGGGAATCTGAGTAAATAGATGAATAGTAAATGGAGCAAGTAGTGTCAGGCAGCATTTTGTGAACTTACATGAAGGTCTGGTAGAATATTAACAGTGCTAAAATATGCCAGGTGTCTGTAGAGTCTGCTTAGAATTTGACTTTATGGGAATTAATGGTGTCTCACTGCAGCTGAGGAAAACAATGTGTGTTATGGGGATATGAAGTGAACCCAGTGCAGTTGATTACATTCACCTGAATTTGCTTTATAAGGGATGGCTAGAAAATGGCTTTTTGTTTGCCATGTAGCTTTGTGAAATTACTTTAGTTTAGTTTGTGGTGTTTGTAGTTTATTTGGGATTTTTGTGGTTTCAGTAAAGTAAATAAATCTTGCATTATTTTTCTCATAAAAATTATTATTATATATCATGTCATAACTTATATAGGAGGCACTTGTTTTCTTTTTAAGATTCATGCTGTGCCATTCTCTCAGAAATTTGTTGGCATATGTTGTGTGCCAGGACACTACTGTTTTCAACCTTTTTGGTAAGGCAGGGAGGATTTCAGTGTCCTGCACATCCTGGGTCATCACTTCCCTTTACCCTTGTTCTGCATCATGGCAGTGGGTTCCACAGGTGAGGTAGGACAAGCATTAAAATTAGGCCTTGTCCTCTCAATAGCTGGGGCTAATCCCCTGCAATCTCATCAGCCATCACTGTGCTCCCTAAAACAAACTGCTCTGGTGAACCCCTGGCTAATTAAATGTCCTATATTGCCTCCTAGTTAAGAGGAAACCAGGCTAACACCTCAGCTGGGATACATGTTGAGGAGATGAGGTGACAGAAAGGCTGCCTAAGCCCCTCTGGAATCCAGAATGTTTATTGAGGTGATTGGTAGAAGACTTTAGCCTATCTTTGTTTATCTTGGGTTTTTTATTTTTTACCCTACTGACATTGTGGAATAGGGAGAAGTTTTTTATGTTGTTATTGTTATTTACTTGCTTGAGGCTGAAATCTGGTCCTATAAAATGGGTTACTAATATGTTTTTGACATGTTATTTCTTACTCCTATTTATTTTTATTTCAGAATGTGGCTGATTGGTTATTTGTTACTGGTCATGAGATAATTTGAATGCTATAGTCAGTTCTCTGAGTTAGAACAAGGGGCAGCTGGCTATGAGATTTTCAGTGAAGTGCTATGCAATAGAACAAGGATAAGAGCAGCAGGAATTAAAAAATTTTAACTATTATTCCATAATACAATTATATGAATGGATAATAGGCAAAACTCCTGAAATACCTCGTTACTCTGCTTGGGTGTGGTGAGTCAGCTGGTTATAAAGTGCTGATCTAAAGCATGAAAATATTTGAAGCAAATCTATATGTAGAGTAGAAGTGAAGTAAGGTGTAAAGGTCTGCACAGGAAGGACTCAGTCCATTGGGAAGTGGTCCTGGCTGTTTAACTGAGTTCCTTTCTAGAACTTAAATGTAGAGCTTGGTCTTGCTACCTTCCTCTACTGCAGAAAGAGAAAAGACAGCCTTTTGGTAAACTAATGGAAGATTAATGAACTGAATACAAGTCAAAGGAAGGAAATGTTTCCTTCCTCAATTGTTTGCTCACCCTGAAGATATAAAATTGCTTCTCCTATAGGTTGCTGATGAAAGGAGATGGAGTTCTCATATATTGGTGCAGCTGCTGGGATTATTGTGGTAGCTACTGGAGCTCTTTGGCAAACCAAATAATATTTTAGTGTTTTTAGCCCTTGGAATCTGCCATTTCCTTCAGAAAACTGGAAAAGATTGCTAAATGAGCATCTTAGAATGCAAATTCCAATTACCTTCAGCAAACGGCGCAAGTGTATCTATTTCAGTTTAGAGTTTTGCCTTAGCAGTCAGTGGTGTTCATAATATTAAGCATGCCTCTGTTCCCATTTTAGTAAAAAAGCAAAATATGAGATGCTTTTTCCCCATAGCAAGAAAAACAGGACATGCCATGAAATCTTTTCTGTATGAAAAGCAGATTAATTCTGCAGTGAATGGCTGGCTGTAAAGAGCTCTTATCTAATTAAGTGGTGGGAACTTTGGTGACATCAAATCTACATCTCTGCCCTGAAGTGGCTGGTTATTTGTGCCTTCCCTCTCTGCTGTTCTAATACTTGCCTGGGTATTTCTCTGCCCTACTGTTTCTTACCTGGCCCTCTTGTAGCTTCTTGTGTGTTCCTGCTTGGAGAGTGTAATGGCAAGTCCCAACCAAAGCAGTAGTGAACAATTAAGCAAAGTCTTTTCCAGTGTGAAAATTGTTGGTGTTGTTTCCTCCTGGCACGCTGTTCCATTACAGCCTGGCCAAAGCCATGAGGCCAAGAGTTCCAGGCAGGGCAGAAGCTTGGGTATCAGACCTTGGGCATTCCTGAAGGAGGAAAAACATGCTATTGCAGTGGGCTTTGATTTATGCAGTGGTTTCTCTTTCTCCTGAATGATAGCCATAGATGGCAGAGACTGGAGAGGCTCCTCCTTGGATATCTGGCCTCACTGTAGATTTTGCATCTTCCCCACTTCTGTGCTCCATTTTATAAACAGAAAAGCAGAAAGAAGCACTTTTCAGGAGGTGTAAACTTGGGCTGCAAGTACTTAATTTTTGTATTCTGATCTCACTTGCCATGGGCAGCTGACTCTGCTGATCTGGCTCCCAGCCCTTCTGCTCTCACCTTCTCAGCCTCTTCTGCCTGGGGTCATCAGAGGGCTGCTGGAACTGGGCTGCAGATGCCTCAATAACCTGCACAGTGCTGGCAGCTGCTGCCCTGCAGCTGTGTCAGAGGGACGGGACCTGCCCTCGGACAGCTGCACACAAGTCTGTGTTCATCCAAGGCTGAACACGATGGTGGCATTTTGAACCCAAAGGTGTGATGGGAATTAGTTAATTGCTTCAGCAAATTCCTGCTGAGGGACCAGCAGACTCAGCCAAGGCTTCCTTTTGCCACTTTTATCTGGCAGATAACGGAAATTTCCATGCATCTGTGTCAGCTCCTGGTAGACACAGCAGGTGCCACCCTGAAATGTGCTGGTCAGATGTGCTGCACCGCCTCTTAAACCCCTTTATTCCTCTTTCTCCAAAATCATCTTGCTCTGTGAAACAGATACTCTGGGATGTTTGAAGCTCCCCAGTAAGGGAAAATACGGAAGTGTTCCCACTGCAGTTTTGGGGTAGTTTTAGCTGCAGAGCCCTACAGTGTCTGGACCCCTGACTCCTGCACCTTGTGACCTGTGTGTGGGAAGATCCCCTCAAGCTTGTTATTGTGACAGGAAATACTGAATAGCTTGAGGTACTGAGGTGGTTTCACTACAGTAAGTTGCTTTTATGTGCATGCCAAAACCTGTGGTTGTGTAGCTCCAATACAAATCTCAAAAGGGTGTAAGAATATAAACACACCCATTTCAGACTGTTTTGTATTTGTTAGCTCTTCACCCTCAAATCCTTACATATCTGCACTGTGGAATTGAACTTGGGTAACATAAAGTAAGAAAAAAGCAAGACATTAAGTCCTCCTCTTATTTGGAGGACCTGTGTGTAGGACTTGTGTTGTTCAAGGTCTTGTAAACACACAAGTGCAGAAGGAACTTTCTTTTCACTGAAAATCAAAAGTAAACTTAATATGTGGAATAGATTGTTTTATTTATCTTAAAATCTAGTAGATATAATTTCTCTCTCTCTTTTGTCTCAAACAGAGATACATCCTGCCGTGAAACCCAGTGTAATCAGGTCAACACCAAGCCTTCAAAGTCCAAGTGCAAAACGACTGCTTGCACCCTCCAACCACTCTTCATTAAGTATTTTGGGGAAAAGAAACTACAGCCATCATAACGGGCTTGATGGTATGTGAAGGAATATAAATTAAATATTCTTTAACTCTCTGAATTGAAAAACTTTCTGTGATCCTGAGGTAACATTAAATGAGAGGGCACAGACTTAGAAAAATGTAAGAAATGGATGGCATGTTTATAGCATCAGTGCAATGAATAATGGTGCCTATTCATTGGATAAAGATATATTAATATCACCTCTTACAAAAACTCCATTTACCTACCACTTTTCCTACTGATCTTAATTTACCAAAAAAGGACAAGAAAAGAATAAAACAAATTTGGTGAAGGCAGAGATGCAACATGTTTTATTTTGGCCTTTTGCATTGCACCTTAGAAAACCACTGTCCTTGCAGAGGAGGAAGCAAAAGGTGTGTGACAGAGGTGTAGGAGAGGCTTTTTCTGTACACTGTGCAGTGCCAGAGGTGACTTTTAGGCCTGGTGTATTCAGCCACTTCATTACACCTTGGTGCAAGCTGAGAGTAGAAATGAATCTGCATGAAAAAACCCAAACAAAAAAAAAAGAATGGAAATTTTTGGGTAAGGCTAACTTTTCTCAAATAATCTTTATCTTCACCCTGAAAAGTGACTGTACATGATTGATGATATTTTTTCACTTTACCAAACAGAAAGATTTTTTCAACTCTAACTGCAAACAGTTTTACCTTGTCCAAATAAGAGAATCCAGCAGAATATAATGTTTACACTAAAAGAAAATGCATGCATTCATTCCTGATATCTCAGTGAGATGTAACTTCTGTAAGCCATTAGGTTATTTGTTCTGTAATTGAATAAGGTTATTGAGGGTAGAAATCTGTCAGACATTGGGCTCTCAAATAGACTGTTCAGGAGATGACATTCACAAAAGAGGTGACTGTACTTTCATGCTTCGCAGAATAGGTTGAGGCAGAAAGGAGAGGAATTGCCTTTAGAGAAGCTCATAGAAATAGTATTCCAAATAAAGGGAGAAAAACTTGATTCATTACCCATCATCTTCCCCATAATCGTGTTTTTCTGTCACTGCAAACACGACTTGTATACTGCAGTGATAAAAGCTACTGTAGCTACTGTACATTTAATAACACCTAGATAGGAATCATGACATCCTTTGACAAGAAATTGTTACTGAGATACACAGAAGAGAGGATTGCTTGCTCTTCTGCTCAGCATGCAGCTATTACACCACAGACAAACAACGTTCATGGCAACACAGGCTCTTCAGGGGACCAAGGTGACACCATGGGAGAAAATATTGCAGCTAGAAGAAAATATGATATCTGCATTAGTAGGCAGAGCCATAAATGCTGACTTTCCCCTGCAACGTTTGAAGGTGGAATTCTGCATGGATGGTTTAGTAGTTGCTGCATGAGAATGTGAACAAAGGCCTCCCCCTCCACCAATGCTGGTCCTTAGACTGGACTCTCCATGGAAGCTCTGAGTGATAATTAGTTTCCCTTGGATGTAAAGATGATCATTGAATGCTTTCAGTTGGAAAATACCTCAAAGATCAAGTCCAGCCTTTAACTCAGCACTGCTAAGCCCTAAACCCAACATGCCCCAAGTGTTAAATCCCTCCAGGGATGGTGGTGACTCAACCACTTCCCTGGGCAGCCTGTTCCAATGCTTTCAGTGAAGTAGTTTTCCCTAATATCCAACCCAAACCTTCCCTGGAATCACTTGAATCTGCTTCCTCTTGTTCTATCACTTCTCATCTGCGAGAAGAGACTGACCCCCATCTTGCTGCAACCTGCACATTTCTCCAGCAGAGAAGGCTGTAGCAGTAAGCTCAAGGTAATTATTATGATTAAGCCCCTCCTTATGTCTCTGTAAGGAGGCATGCTTGGAAACCTGTAAAATTTTCCTTTTACTTAGTACGGATGTTCTCCTCAAAGTAAAACGTGTGTAAAAGCAGTCATTAGTTACACCAATTAGTGTGTATCAAACAGTCAGCTATGTTAAGGCAATTTGCACAAAATAACATCTAATTTGAAAAAGTAATATTGAGAACTGCAAGTCATTGCTTTTGGAGATATCTCTGCTTCTCTGTTTCCTGTGAAAACAGCATACTGGAAAGCATATATCCTAAATAAGTGAAATCTGTACTTTTTAGTGCAAAAATGACTATCTTAGTGTTAAAAATGGCTACTTTGGTTATTATTCTTGACACTCTAATTAAAATGTGGAGAAGTGTAAATAAAATGCAATAAAAAAATAACAAACCAGTAGTAATGATAATCAACAGCACAGGTTACATTTCTTCTGACTTAAAACTGCCTTCAGTGTTCACCATTTACCACCTCCTCCTCAGGTTATTGGTAAAGGTAATTTTTTTTGTGTTTTATCTAGTTTCTCTTCAATACCAGATCAGCTTGGGCGGTGGTGGTTTCCATGTCATTTCCCTGACCACAGTGTACTATTTGTGCAGTGAAAGATTTTGCCAGCCCCCAGAGTTTTTGTGTTACTATAAATACACTAAAAAGCTTTTTTGATTCCAAAATACTATAGATTGCAGGTTTGATTGTGTTGTATCAATTAAGAATATCCAGAAGATTTGATATGGAGATGGTGACAGACTCTGCCTTTCAGTGCATGCTTTGGTGAAATGAGCAAACAAAAAGGAGCATGGGGAATTTATATTAAATCTCATTTGCCATTTTCATAATCTTAATATTATTGGTATGTAAATATCTGGATTTTCAAGTTTACTTTTTTTTCCAATAGTATTAGATATTTGTTGTGAGAAAGTCACATAAATAAATTTACTTAAGATACACAATATTTCACAGCATTTAAATAAATGTTGCTTAGGCTTGTGCAAATATATATTTAGATTAGCATAATTTAAGTCAATCTTACTGCCCTAGATGAGTGCCTTATTTTGGCAGAATTTCTTTTTAAGCAAATTAATAATTACTTGCTTTGAATATAGCAGTACATTATGGAAATGCCACATGTTTATGCCTCTTTGGGGAAGTGGGGGAAGATTATGAGAAACATCATTAATATTTAGTTAAATGCTTTTAAGAGTAATAGACAAGAATATGATGAGCTTTTCTTATACAAGTCTTACATTGTCTTGAGTTCTGCTTTTAGCCAATGCAGCACAAGATTCCCTTTGTTTTCCATGGATGCACCTCCAGAAAAGTTTTGGTGCAATTGATAAATGAGGTCTCTCATTTATATTTGGGAATGTTGTCCCCTTTTATCTTGTTATTGTCAGTCATGGCCAGGAGTGAAATTGCTTTGCTTAAGCACTGTGTATTGTAGCTAGAGAGAGAATCTTGTTGGTTTTTGTGTCCCATATTAAGAGGAAGAGTTTTGCTGGATGGTCTTAGAAAAATGGTTTTTATTTTATTTTCAAACAACAGCAAATCTTGCATTCTGTAAGAAATGCCAGTGAACTGACATTTTGCTGTTCTGGAAACCTCACAGTACTTTGAGAAGTTTTTGTATAATATACATGCTGGAGCTTTTAACTGCTCTGAGATGCAGCATTTAAATTGCTGCTGAAATTAAAGTCAGCATAAGATATTTAAGTGGTTCTCTGCCATGAAGATAGCCTCTTTCAAGTGGGAAAATTCCATCTTCAGAAAATCACGATGTTGCAGAAGGTTACATGTACCCAATTTTGTTACTGGAGTTGACGATGGGAAGATTTAGGTGTGACTGTAAAGTGCTTTAGATATTTTGAATCTGATCTTTAAATTACAGTGTCTGAAATTATTCCAAGCAATTACTTTCTCCCACAAGCTGCTTAACTGCGAACAACAGTGCATCCGAGTAGTCAAATTTTACGTCAGCCTATTGTTTTGGCAGGGTGAGTAATGATAATTTTGCTTATAGTATTTGGAAACATCAGGTAGAGGTATTTTACACAAGAATAATCTCTGTCATCTGGCACACATTTCCTTACCTTTTATGCATGAGAACCAGAATACCCACAGGGTGTCCAAGGCATCAGCGTCACTAATGAGGTACAGAAATCTGTCAGTGCTGGTTGATACCATTTTCATAATGTGGACAAAAATAAAAGAACCAGCTTTTCATAGCTGAAGAGACTTGAATCAACAGCTCTGATCCTCCTTTCTTCCCTGCCATACCTTTAGTGCTGTATTTCAGTCTGAGATGTCCTGCTGTCTTCAAGAGGATTCTTTCAACAGTCAAATTTCTGTTCTGGAATATACTGCACTGTGCAGCAGATGCATGGAGTATCTAGGAATAAGGCAACAAAAGTCTGTTTGCCTAGGTACCCACACATCTCTGGCCTGGCAGGATGAGAAGGTGACATGAGAAACTGGCAAATAGAGAAAAACCTCAAAAGGATGTACCTTCTTTCTTCAATACTTTTTTGGTCAATCCTTCTCTCTATGCTTATGACTGATACTGTTGGGTGTTCAGGAGATGAGCAAGGTAGAAAGCCTTAATTTTCACTCCTAGTTTTCCATGGGGAATTTATGACAAACAGATGAAAACATAAGCAGCCTGACTGACACGAAGGGAAAGTAAAACCTTTCCTGTCCCAAATCTTCATGAAACAGAGGATATAATTAAAATGAAGCATGTATTAAAATTAAGTTCACATAACATTATGTGACAATACTTTAAAGGGAAGGAGGTTTCACTCTAGGATGGAATTTTTCAGCAGTGAGTGAGTTGTTTTTTCTCAAAGGTGTCTGATTGTTATCACAATACTATGTTTTGGTAGAGGCTGAGATGCTCTGCTATGGTGGCAGAGGAGCAGCATGGATTGTACATCACAAAATATCTGGTGCTCTGTTACTTTAAAAAGAAAACCCTAAATTTTCTATTTCTCATATTAATAAACTGTAAACCTACCAAAGTTGTTATAAACCCCATTTAACATACCAGAAATTCCCAACTGAAAGAGATGAGTTGTGGCAAACAAGCTGCTATGTGAAAATTTGCCATGTCTTCCATGCTAAAACACAAGGTATGATTAATGCTGGATTGTGTATACTCACTCTTCCCAAAAGTGAGAGACAAAAACTATA